ATTTTTGGCATTGCATTAGCATTAATGACGGAAGTTAAAAAGTCTCCATTTTCGTCTACATGGACTAATGCGTGAGGAATTCGAACTTTTTCGATTTCTTGGGATGACAGTATGGCGTCTGTATTGGATAGGTTGCATTTCAATTTGAATATTTGTTCTGTTCGGCTATCAATCGAAATTTGGTTTATTTTTTCTTTTATTCGTTTTTTCTCTGGTCTTGGGATGTGTTTGTGTTGATCATGAGTGTTTTCGTGAAATGGGCTGCTATTGTGTTGAGCTTTAACGTTTGAGTTTGATTTCGGTTATGTTTGGAAATTATTTGACGGTACTATTTTTGTAGGAAATGTAACCGGAATATTTTCTATGGGTTTATGGGTCTCTTGTCCGACTTTATGCAGGGTAAGAGTTTTAAAATTTGTATGAAGTTGTCTTGTTTTAAGGTCTATTACACATTCGTAGTGGTCTAGGAAATCTAGGCCTATTATGCCGTCAAAGTCAATGTCTAGATTAAAAATGAAAACTTTGTGAGGGTTGTCATCGGTAAAGGGAATAAGGACAGATTCTGTAATTAGAAGTTTCTCGTCGGTTATGCCTTGAATGGTAACATTTTCTGGGGATCGGTTATGATAATTTCGTGCAGTATTCTCTTTGAAAACTGTAATTCCTGCACCGGTGTCAATTAGAAGTTTAAAAGTATTCGTAGCGTCATTGATATAGTATAAGTTTTTAGAGCTCATTGTGTGGAAGGGGCTTACAGGAATTTCTGTTCGGGGAAATTCACATTTGGATCGAAATTGTCCAAATTGAGGGCTTGGATTTGTTGTTGTACATTCGTGATATCGGTTGAAAGATTCGTAGGTACTGGGGGATGGTTCTGATTGGGTAGCGAAAGAAAATCCTGATAATTTTCTGTATCAGGTGTATTATTAATATAATCAGATGTGTCATTGGTATATTCGTAAAAATAGTTAGTTTGAAGATCATTTTCTGTATAATAATCTTCATAAGATTCTACAAGATCGTCAGGGTATTCATTAAAGACATGGGCTCTTTGCTGAAAATTTTGGAAATTTGGATTTCTCTGAATAACAGAGGGGCGATTCTGCGGTTGATTTTGAGAAGGGAAATTCGATCTCTGTGGGTTTAAATTTTGTTGATTAGAAGAGTATTGGTTTTGATTACTTGGGAAATTTTGTGATCTAGTATTATATTGATTGGATTGGTTTTGATTATTTTGGTAGTTTTGTGGTCTACCGCTATATTGATTTTGATAAGAAGAAAAATGTGATGAGCGACATTCGCTACTTAAATGGCCAATACGACCACAACTTGTACATTTAGAAAAATTAGATGAGGTTCTTCTCATCGGTTGGGAAGGTTTTGGATTATTTTGGCTATCTTTATTTGATTTTTGAGATTCGAAATACGATAACTGAAGTTCACGTCGAATACGGTTACTGGCTTCAATAAGGTCTTTAGGGTTACTGGCCCTAATTATTTGTCCTAAGCGGGGTTCTAGTCCAGTTAAGAGAGTATTCAAAGCCATAGAGTCAATTAACGTGCATTGGGCGGTTTTTTGGTCTTGTGTTAGGCCTGATTTTTGAATTGAGGCGTGCATGTTTGCATTTAGAACTTGTAATCTGTTGAAAAAGGTTAAAGGTGATTCGTTCGATAACTGTCGAAGTCTTTGTAGGTCGTGAATTAAGGAAGTGAGATCTCTACTATCTCCGAAATGAAGGTTTAATAAATTTTTTATCTCTGTGTATGAAGTTGGTTTTCTAGAGTTTATTAATTGAGCTGCTTTACCTTTTAGATTATTTTTAATGTGAATCGTTAATAAAATACGTTGGTCTCCCGAAGACATTTTAATCGCGCAATCATATGCGTCTAAGAATGTGGGAAGACAGATTGGGTCTCCCTCAAACTCAGGAATTATGGAGAATATTTCTGAAAGTTTGTACGGTTCAATTTCAACTTGGGTTTGTGAACGTGTTTCAGGCATTTTGATAATAATATGTCAGTGGAAGTATAAAACAAAATATACGAATAGTAAATATGGTAAAATAAAATAAGATGGAGTAAAATCAAGTAAAATATGGTAAAATCAAGTAAAATGTGGTAAAATAAAGTAAAATATAGTAAAATATCGGTGAAAATATAATACGAAATCAATAAAATGTGTAAATAAGAATGATAAAATAATAAAAGTATGCAATAAAAGGTATTTCCTTATTAGATAATCAACTTGGCTTGACTTTCTGTATAGTCAAGATTATAAATTGAAAAAATTATGATGTATGTACGGTATGTTTGCAAATATAAAAATAGTAAAAACGAGATGATTCAATAACTTACATTAACAGAAACATCGAGTACGTCTTGTTTTCTAACGGGATCAGCTACCAGGGGCTTCACCAGGTGTTCCTTCCGTAGTATCCAGTTGAATGAGGACGGCTCTAGGTTCTTTTTCCGTTGAGGGATAGGGATCCGCCGTTGCTAGTGAGTTTCCTTGTTCTAACAACGTTAACCGGATCCTACTGACTGCGCCAAATGTTAAATCACCAACTTCTTGATTGACTTTTTAAAAAAGATTTATTTCACAAATAAAAGTTACACTTAGTTATACGATAAAATGAAGCAAATAAAATTATATAATACAAATGTTATTAGTAAGAAACTTATATGACGAGTAAAAAATATAATGTTAGTCCTGAATTTTTAATCTATCTACAAAATGTGGTGTCGGCATTTCCCACGAAAGGCCAGCTTTGGTCAGAGTTTGATGTCCGTGCATAGTCAGCTATCTCTATGGGAACGCTTGCTAAAAGAATGATGAAATAGGAACTGATATTGCGAAACCAAAGTGTCGGTAACCCTTGAGTGGTTCAAGGTGACTATTTTCACATATAACATATATATATATATATATATATATATATATATATATATATATATATATATATTATTGTGATATTTAAAGTTTTGGTGCGCCAAACAATTAATTAGCTAATTAATTAATTAATTAATTAAAATAATTTAAATGATATGATTATGACTCTATCACACTTTTTATTTCTCTTATCTCAGGGTTAAATTCGTGCTTCAATATCTATGCTTCACATGTGAAAGGTAAGGTCCAAAGAATACCGGAATAATAAAAAACACATATGTTATAACACTATATATTGAAATAAAAATAATGAAATAATATTCACACTTAAATGTTTTTAATAAACAATATCTCATATAATGATTCTTAAAATTTTGTTCTAAGTACGTGAACCTTCAAAATTAATGGTATAAAGAATATTAGTTAAAATCGCAAAATCCCAATTATTATTCTAAATCTCCTAATCAAAAATTTATATCTTTTCTAAAGTAATTGTAAAAATTGTGTTATCAATAAAAGAAAAACTGCAGAAAAACAAAACGATCTCACTCTGATGATGAGTGGTCCAAATCCTTGTTCCTGGTAGCCTATATTATCTATTCTTAGCAGCTCCCTAGGTAATCAACAATCTTACAACAAATTGTTGCAAGTATATCGTCCTTAATGATCTCCTTCAAAAGCACGAATCATTCAAATTATGATAGCCTTTCTCCTCTCGATAAACTGAATCTCTCGTTGGCCCGAGTGAAAAATGACTCTTGGAATATCTTCTCTTTACGATAAACTGAATCTCTCGTTGGCCTGAACAGTGACTCTTGGAATATAAGTAGAAAAATATGACTTACAATATTTGTCTTATATAACTATATACTATAATGTTATAGTATATAGTTATAATCTTGGGTAAGAAAACATGTCTAGCATAATAAACACAGAGTCCAATAAAAGAAAAATAAACGTTCATCAAAGTAACCGACAGTAATAAAAGCAAAATCAGAGAAGCAGCTGCACGTAGCAGAGAAACAAAATACTCGTAATATATAACCAAGAAAATATAGAACTACTGGGATCTGTCTACTTCGCTGCTACGTGTCCTCGGTCTTACTTTATGAAATCATGTTTGAATATGAAAATTTGAAAAGTTTTAACTAAAAGTTGAAAAAAAGGTGAGGCGGATTTCAAACTTCACAATACTAGAACGTCTCAGCAAGTCTACTGAGATAGCATCAAGAAGAGAAAGATGAAGTACTTTGGACATGTAATAAAAGGTCACAAATATAAGTTGCAACAAAATCTTAGGCTAGGGAAAATAGCAGGCAAATGCTTTCTAGGATGAAAAAAGTCTTAAAAAACTTGCGAGATTGGTATGGTATTGATACAAGCATGCTATTTGAGGTGGCAGTGAATAAAATTAAGATAGCTGTAATGGCCACTAACGCTTTGAAAATAATGGTACATAAAAAAAGAAACAACTCTTATCTTACTAAACGAAGAAAAATGTATAGCAAACATATTAATAAATATAGTAAAATCTAGTTTCCAATACAAAAACAGCAAGTCAGAAATAAGAATATCATAATACTACAGATTTATTAGTTAATTCTTTAATAAGTTACCACATCATCTAATTAACTATAATGATCACAGAAAGATCAGAGTTACATGTCGATGCAAGGGCACAATATATCTTAGAAATATCAAATTGCCCCAATAAATAAACCATCAAATTGGTACTACCATCCACCTTTAATTATAAATATTTATATGTTAAGATTATTCCTAATTTTTATTTCAGAACTTCAGAAACAAAACCAAAATAAAATTTAATGATTTTTTTTATTCCGTATAAAATAATATCACAACAAAACACTATCACAACGTTTTTATAATTATTTGAAGTGAGCAACCTCAAATTACTTAAGAACAAGTAAAGTGTTTGTATAAATTTAACAAATTTTTTGGTCTGCAGTGTTACCAAAAACGTTTTTTGAAAAATCCTCAAACAATGTACTTTACTGCGTCATATGAAAATTAAGAGGGTAATTTTTGTGATTTTAAAAATATAGTACCTAAAATAGTACCAAGTTATAAAATATACAAAAATACGTACGTTCTTCTTGTTGGCACATTACACCAAAGCAACATATCAGGATAGCAACAAAAGTAACGATTCTGGGTTGAAACATTTTATTTGCGGAAGTATATTCACCAGACAATTTAGGAGTCTTTTAAAAATTCAAGAGTGCTAGTGAAGCCTTTATATTGTTGTTTTGTATCACTGGGAATTCTATAAATTGCGAAGTGGGTGAATAATGACAAACTTATTTAAAGTAAGATCAAGTTTTCATATCTTGGCCAACATTATAACGAAGCAAATTTGATTAATTGTAAAATCCAGTTTAAGTATTTTAATAATAAGCCGGAAGCAGAGGTGGACTTCGCCAATAACTAATAAATTTGTAAAAAAAATATTTGTTTATGCCGGTTATTCATATTATTAAATCAAGTAATAAGAAGAAGTAAACATACGGTTTCATTAAATAAGTTAGGTATACCATAAACGTAATTACAACTCGTAAAATGTTACCTCATGTTACATTTTAAAAATAAAAATCTAGAACTCTGGTATCATATTGTTTTGAAGGTAGTTTTCAAAAAGTTATCGAAAATATGGTTAGTGTTTTAAGTTCTCTGCCACAAAATATGAGGTATAGGTATCCATTAAGTAAACTAATTAACGATCCAGCGGTGACGTAACAAATTTATACCTTACTAGTGACCTTGGTCTGTTTGACCTTGTTAAATAATTATACTTAATAAAGTTCTAAGATATAATAGTTTACAATAATTTTAGTAACTGCTTAATTGGTAATAAAAATAAAACAATTTTTACATAAATACAAAAAAAATGAATTAAAATTACCAAAGTCCTAGTTTAGTCTTTCCTCAACGCATTGGCGATAAACAGAGGTAGTTAACATATTTGAGACAGAGGAGTTGACTAGAGATTTTGCAGATACAGTGTAGGAAAAAGTTTATGGTCGCTATGAACCTTACGTGAGATGGAGTGAAAAACAGCTGTTTAGAAAGAGAGAGGTATATTAGGTCCGCCCTTTATATCGCCAAACATGCATGCCTGGAAAGGGGAAGTTCAACGTTGCCAAACTTATTGGATTTATTTGACCTGTTGTTTTTTTTTGCATTTGAACAACGTTCTAAGATAATCCAATTTGGGCGAAATTGATTTAAATGGTAGCTTACTGTTTTCTTTTTTATTGGGAATATGCCACAAGTTTACTTTACAATAAGTGTAATATAACATTTTGATTTCCACTTCGGAAATCGTTTTATATAAATAAAATGTATTAATGTTTCGTATTTTAATTATGATTTCCGAATTAGAAATCTAAACATCAAAATAAGCTTATTTTAAAGTCACATTGTGCCTTATTCTCAATATGAAATAATAAACTGCATACAATACAATAACGCCACATTAAAAAATATTCATACACAGTAATTATTTGGCAACGTCGGTTTGGTCTGGTCTGGTTTGGCCGACCGAGTAACGAGTAGTAGAGGTGGGTCGTGGTAGTTTTATCGTTAAGAGCGTAGGCACAAAATTTCGTTCCAATATTTTTTAAATGCATTAATTTTTTGCGAATCCTCAGAAAACTAATAAATATTTTTGAAAAATTTAAACGCCGAATGAAAGAATACATTATTACCGAGGGCCGAAAGTCCTTGAAAACTTCTATAATGTTTATTTTAATAAGTTATAGGAGTGAAAAAAGAATTAGTGTGATTTTTATTTCAAATATCTCATTCAAAAACCTTTTTGTTTATTCTAAGGGACTTTCGGCCCTCGGTAATAATGTAATCTTTTATTCTGCATTTAAATTTTTCAAAAATATTTGTAAGTTTTCTCAGGATTCCAAAAAAAATGACTGCATTTAAAAATTTGAATTTTTGTAAACAAGTAACTATGATTGTTTAAAAGTAGTTTTAAGTAAGAGAGTACCTACATAAACAAACATAATGGCTATTATCGTTTATGTGTATATTTATTGAAGTAAAAGAAACTAATGATTTATTTATTATAACTTGATTACATACGTACTTACATTTACATTACACGTTATTATTAAATCGCGAATAGTCTAAATTGACGTTCAAAAAGTTTTTCAACTTTACTTCTTATTAACCGTCTTTTTTTTTTATTTCAAATTAAACCAGATTTTGAACATGTGTTCACATTTACAATACTAATGGTGGTTAAGTTAGGATATACATGGCGATGGTTTTTCCACCGTTGTAATGGACTCTCGATTCAGGTGTACGTGTAGATGAGCCATCTCCAATTAATTGATCAAAAATACACCATGGATTTAAGTCATCTTTATTGGTTTCTGTTTCTTGTACCGGTTGATTTTCAATAGTACAATCTTCTTGTTCATTAATTATAGAAGTAACCAGCTTCTTAACATTTTCTTTAATTTTTTTATCTTCATTTTTATCAGAAAAACCCTGCACTTTAAATGGTGAATCCATAAATGTACATAATAACAATGTGCCACTCTCTTTTATCCCTTCAAATCTTTTTGCTAAACCCGATATTAGTAATTGTACTACGTCGGATACTATGGATGTAGTTTGCTAAACCTTATTGCTAAATTTACCGTTTGCTAAAATTTTATTGCAAGATTCTTGCAGGCAGCGTACCATAACAATCACTGAACTACCCTTTAAGTATTTTTGGTCACTCATTGTACTTGTTATTTCTTTAAACGGCCGTAAAATTTGGGAGAGCTTAGAACAAATAATCCAGTGTTATTTATTTAGATTTGGTCTAAGTCTAAGTCTGTATTATTTAATACCGATGTGGAACGGATTGCCTCTTCTAACTCGGTCATTTTTTTTTTAACATGTAGTAGGTGAAGTTCTACCTAGTTTCCATGTCTTGGATTGGCCGTTTGGGAACTTTGTTATGTTGTAATTAATACTTTAAAAGCCTTTCTGAAGATAAGGTACTTTTTTTTAAATGTGTTTTTTGCAGAATTGTCGAAAATAGGACTTTTTATTTTATCTATTATCAAATCAGTCCATGGTGTATTTTTGATGAAATAATTGGACGTGACTCATCTAAACATACACCTGTATCGAGAGATATAAAAGAAGTCGACATGTATTTGTATGATGATATATTACCCACAAAAAATTTCGAACGGAGATTGGAACTGTCCATTACCGTGGTGGAAAAACCATCGTCATGTATATCCTTACTTAACCACTATAATCATAAAATATTGTAGTATTGTAACAAAATCTTTTCCTTGTGAACACATGTTTAAAATCTGGTTTAATTTTGAATAAAAAAAGAACACGGTTAACAAGAAATGTGGAAAAACTTGTTTTTAAATGTCAATTTTGACGATTCGCGATTTAATAATGTGTAATGTAAATGTAAGTACTATTTGTATTATTTAATTTATTTTTCAAGTTATAAGAAATATATCCTTCGTTAGGTTCTTTCACTTCAATACTTATACACATAAATGATAATAGCCAATATGTTTGTGTACTCGCTAATTTGAATACTGGTAAACAATCAACTAGTTACAGTTTACGAAAAACGGTTCCGATAAAAATTTAAAAAACGGGAGGATCCACCTCTAGTTTTTTAGGTATATTAGAATCGGAACCAGAGAATATGTAAAATATCTCTGATCGGAACTATTCGTCTCACGAATGAGCAATGAGTGTTAAAAATATTTATGGAGGGGAGACCAAGGGGAAATATGATTGTTATCTTTGTCTATTTGCTGAAAATATGATTTTATATCTGCGTTAGATATCCTGTTAAATTTTACCATACCGACCATAAACGTTTACCTACACTGTATATTTTGTTTTCATATTTTACTTAAAAGCACAAATTTGGCAACGCCCAATTTGTGACAACTTCTGAAGTCTCTGATGCGTTTCTATGGGTAGCTTCCATATTTGTTGTATTCTTTCTCGGATGGCTCATGGTATCTGTTGATCTGCTTATCTTCTTATCGCATATTTTTTTACGAGACTTCTGGATAGTTCTGTCAAAAACTTCTTATGTGCGTTATAAAAAATGCATTACTTTCTGTCACATTGATTGGCGCGTACAAGACTATCATTGGCCATCTTCTAGTATTGCGAACTACATTGTATTTTGATAAAAAGTGATCTACCATGTCAACTTCTACCTTTTTTTGTTATAGTTACTAATCATCATAGGCTTTGTGTAGTTCCATCGATCTCTTCACCGTCATACATCGTACACGCAAGATACCAGAAAAACGTTTTCCTTTGGTTTTATAACGTGTGATGCTGAAGTACAATTTTTCTAAAATACAAACATGGACTTGGTCTACTTTGATTTTTAGTAAACTGGGTACGTAGAGGTTTTTATTTTTTTATATTGTACCCAAGAATGTTAATTTATGTGCTTATTGAGTATGGTTCAATACTGGCGAACCAGTTTTCAGTGTTTATATTTTGATTAAATTTTCTTATTTACTGAACAACTCTACTCACCACATCAATCGCGATGTAACTAGGTTCAAGTGGAGAACCATTTAGTTGTTTACCAACTTACACCTGCATGTTAGCGGCATAGAACAAATTAGCATCTGTTACGGCGAATATTTTAATTCCTTATTTAGAAGGCTTTGGGGGTCGAAATAAACAGTTTTCACGAAACGCTCCTAACATCTCGTCTATAGTCATGCATTAGGATGGATTGGAATTTTTGATGCAGTTTTCATTCACTTGGCAAAACATCTCAGACTGAAGCTAGTTTATCCACAGATTTTCTGGTTTCTCGTGTATCGCAGTCATGAAATCTTAGATGTCGAAGGAGAAGAAAAAAAACGTTGTGACATGGCCAAATAAAACAACTCTAATCACCGGTAATATCAAACATTTCGTCACAATTCAATTTGTTCATTTTTTAACTTCAGCTTAGTACAATAAGCCAACTAATGCTTCCTCTTCTAGGATATTAATAGGCTCGTATAAGTTTCTATGGCATATTTTCCTTGAGCAAATTTATCAATGTGCTGATTGGTTTCAGGTAACAATAGTATTGATAATAAAATCGTCAAACCTTTTTTTCCAAATTTCTACAGGGTGGATCAAATTGCAGATAACTTGTTATGGTTCCAGTAATTGTGTAATATTTTTTGATCTTGCCCCATAGCTTCGTAAATTCATTGGTAGACAGTGTTTCTTCCATGTCACTTTATCTTTAT